GCATGGCCATCCCCTCAGGGGGTGATTTCTCACCTTCTGTCTGTCTGTCTCTGTCTCTCCGATGAGCACATACAGCCTGTAGTGAAAAGCTCTCTCGAAAAAAATTAAATAAAACCTCTTACTCTTACTTTTATATTTACATTGGGACCATCAAGAGTAATTCAGTACTATAAGTCTTACCTGGATTGTTATTTTGAGACATTTTATATTTGTATTCTTTTTCACCCATTGCAAGCATTAAACGATTTCTGTATATAAAAAAGAGAAATAAAATTACTATTTTAATATCTGTATGAAAAATACAGGATATATTGAACTCTTAGAGTAATTTGGACAATATGAGAGAGAACATGAGACCTGACATTATCACACACTTCAAAACTCTATAAACTTTTTATAAAATTTATAATTGCAAAAGAAAAAATAAGTCATGATTTGAGCACAATGTACAGCTCAGTAAATTAACCACTTAGTTTAACATAACAAAAAGGGTTCTGAATGTGAGAAGTCTTAGATATGTAATACACAGCTGCATGTTCTTGGACAAGTCACTTCTCTTAGAAGGAACAGCCACACAGCAATCCCTTCTCCTCCATTTTCCTCCTGGGATCTTGGGCACTCATGCACAGGCAGCTGGTGTGAAGTTCAAGCCACTGGGTCTGGAACTTGAACTGTGGTTAAGCCAGCGCCTTAACCACTATGCCACCTGCTGGCCTCCAAGTGTTGTAGTTTTTTGTTTTTTGGTTTCTTTTAAATGTTATTAAGTTCCTAATTATGGTTATTATTATGTTTTCTTTGTGGCCTGAAATTCAGGGCATCACAGCTATTTACTTTTGCAACTTAATTTATTTTTAAATATATCGTTATATTAGATAACATAATTATCTCCTATTATTGAGCTACTTAAGGACAGAAAACTAACAGATGTCTATACTTCCCTTGCGTTACTATTATTTCTTCTCTGACTACTCAAACTGAATCGGTAGATCTTTGTTAGAATGACACTATTTCCATGTTCATCTCCAACTGGTTGCATGAGAAAACTCTACTTTTATACCTCGATACTGATGAGTCACGGATGGAGTGTACTTCTATAAAATCCAACTAACCTATTTAAGTTAGAATTCTGTTGAATGGCTTCCTTGGGAGGCAGAATTTGAGAATATTTTGAAAACGTGGGGTTGAAATACAAATAGTTTAGGAGATATTATTATGAAAAAAAGGTCACTTGGTCCAATGGTAGGTTGGCACCCACTACTCTGGGAAAGGATGCAAGATTTCCCACAATCTGAGGGATGTTACTCCACAGGATATAAAGGGGCTCGTAGCAGTACAAGTCTGATATCAAAGAAAGGAAACTCTAGGCCAACAGGTGGCATGGGGTCAAGGCACTGGGTCCCATATCCCGGATGCACAGTTCAATTCCCAGACCTGACAATTTGAGAAAAATGCTGAGCACATGTACATGAGGTGCCCCAAGCCCTGACTGGATGGAGAGATAGAAGAATTACAGGGTGACCATGCCCCACACGGGGTGCTTTATCCTCTCCTCTCTTTCTGCCTTTCTGTCTCTCTCCGGTGAGTACACACCACCCACCCCAGAAAACAAAGGGAAAAAATGAAACTCTAATTGCTCCCAGTAACATTATTAGAACCTCTCTGACACACCAAGCACGTGCGCTTGCATGCCCACAATGGGAGGAGAACAGAATGGAGAAGGGATTGTGGCATGACCATCCTCCCAAGGGGATAATGTCTCAGTTTCCCTCTCTCTCTGTCTCTCTCCTGCAATGCATGTATCCTATGGGGAAAAAAATCTAAAAAGTAGTTACTTCAAAATCTAAGTGCAGATTATCATGAAGACTGAGATATTGGATCAGTAAAGGCAGCCTGTTGGCAGAGGTCAATCACCAGACTTTGGTTTCCACAGCAACACTGAAGCAACAGGATCAGTGGAAACAACGCTATGATTAGAATGTCCCTCTTTTCTCCTCCATCCGACTTGTGCAAAAGAACTGTTTACTTTGGATTTAGGAAACCCCTTAGGCTCTTGGAAAATTCAAGTAGGACCATAGGAGAGCTAGCCTTCAGAGGAAAGAACAAGATTTCCAGCTATACTGGACATTTCAAAACCTAAATCATTAGAAAAACCAAAGATATGTCACTAATCTGTACTCCATGTACAGGGATTATACTTGTAGTGACATGGACAATGTTGGAATCCCTAGGGACAAAGGTCTTAACAGTCCTGAGATACAAAATCCTGCACCCCCCGCTACTTCTCACTAGTCTAACCTGTTGGTTGGTAGCAGCTGATGAACTAGAAGGACGCTGCCATTCTACAGTTACCCGAACCAGACTACAAAATCTCACCTAACAGAGAGTTATAATTCTATTTATAGTTATGTAGTTATAATTACTTTAAATCTCAATTTTTTGTTACCTACCATTTTTATATAAACACTTACATTCTGAAGCCACTATGAGAAGCATAATATGTTGCAGTGTGTCCATCGATATCTTCAGAGCAGGGATTAAGACCGAGTTCAAGAAGAAGTCTGACAATATTTGCAGAGCTATGGCCTGCAGCCAACATGAGAATGGTTCTAAAATAACAAAGAGGTGAGTGATTTACCTTAAATAATGTTATTTTAAAAGGTACTTGGACATACTTCACCAATTTAATGTCCTGCTTGTCTATGTAGAATTAACCATTTACACTTACCTACAGAAATAAGCATTTGGGGCACTGAAGTGTTCAAGTATGGAAATTACTTCCAAGGTTAAAAAGAAAGTAGAAAAAAGAAGCCTCTTCTCCCACTGTGCTATTAAGCAGTAAAAGTAAATTTAAAGTTAACTTAAGGTCCCTTTGACAGACAAGAGACTATGCTGGAGTCACTTCTCTGAAGTAAAGGTTTAAATGAAGATTTTTTTTTTAGTTCTTCCCTAGTCTGATAAAATGTATTATAATTCAAAGCCAGTTAGAGGTGAGATAAGTAAAAAGGTATTTGCAGACTTAAAACAATAATAGTAATAAAATGATAAAAACAGTCGTATTAGTTTCAGTGAGTGGGTCTCTCAGCGTGTGCTTGGCTTTGAATGAAGTACTACCTACATAATCTTACCTATATACATTTGAGGATCTATTACAGGCTGGGTATCCCTGATCTAAAATGATTGGGACCAGAAGTGTTTCACAAGTCAGATTTATTTCAGATTTTAAACAAACTTGCATAATGTATAACTTAGTAACATGAGGCATTTGGGAATAAGACCCATGTCTAAAACACAAAATTTGTTTATGTTTAATATACCTATATACACAGACTGAAGTTAATTTTACGCAGTATTTTGTACTGTAGCATTTTCCCTGCCACCCGAGGGCAGGTATGGCATTTTCCACTCACAACATCATGACTCATTCACAGTTTCAGATTTTGGAGCATTTCCCATTTCACATTTTCAGATTAGAGATGCTTAACTTGGATTACTCCCCTTTTCATATCAGGGAACATGTCTGGTAATAAGGAATCTTCCCAAGGCCACACACCTATCAGGTAGGAAACCTGACAGATAAGCCCAGTCTTGTGAGAATCTAAAGTCTACCTTTCTCTTTTATGCCCACCTATGACTTGATTTCATCAAAAGAAAAGTTTATCCATTTAAAGCTATCTTTCACGCCAACCAAAAACAAAACTTCAGGTCGGGGTGGTGTCACTGCAGTAAAGTAACGCTCTGAGATGCTGAGGCCACCAGGGAGGGTCCTCAGCTCTCGTCCCAAGCTCTTCCTGCACAGGCCAGGTGTGAGCTCATGACTGTAGCTGACTGGGGCTGGGGGGCAACTGCAGCCTGAAGACACCGTTGGGGGACTGCCTGTCTGTTTCCCTCTGTCATTCTCTGAATAAATAAACAAATCTTTGTAGAAATAATAAATAGGTCAGCAGGTGGTGTGGTGGTTAAGGCACCAGATCCCACATAGCCAGCACCGTGGTTTGGGTCCTGGACACGGTGACTTGAAAAACACATCATGCATGTGTGCGTGCATGCCCAAAATCCCAAGAGGAGAATGGAGAAGTCATGGCAGTGTGACCATCACGCAGCGGGGTAGCTTCTCACTTTCCCTCTGTCTCTGTCTCTCTCCAGCAACTGTACGCACCCAATGGCAAAACATCTACAAAAAGAAAGAAGAAAGGAAAAAACAAGAGGGAAAGAAAAGAAGAACATTAAAATATGCTAGAAAGGAAAAAGTAATGAATCCACAGAATCTGCTCATGGCACACTTACCAGTCACTCAGGGATAACCTAACATCAACATTCTTCAAACAAAGCTATTTAAAGCAAAGAGCCATCCAAATGATTTTCAACACATCTAGGTACAATATAGCATTTAAAAGAAAAAGTATGCAAAGACAGGTTCAAAAATAGTAAAAAAGTTAAGAATATTGAGTCACACAGTAAACTTAAGTCCACACTTCACAGAACTATAACAACTTTAGTAAGAAGTCCCTTTAGTTAACATATCACATGATGAAAAAAATCAGATTACAAATGGCAAACACCAGTCGATATAATGAGGGATTGTGAATCCTACTATACAACAGTTCCTACAACAGCCCAGTACAAATGATTGCTATTCTTTTCTTTTTTAGCAGACAGGGGCATGTGTGATCACTAATGTGA